TAACCAATGCTTTATAGTAATGTTTTTTTTTTCATTGATGATGGAACGGGTAATGGATGACAAGTGACCGATGAATGGATAAGAATGAAATCTGGTAGCCTAATGGAATGATCTACGAGGTTGTTGCCCTAACGGGATATATTGCTAGTAATTGGAGCAACAGTATCAATACCTATTACTATGACCATTACCAATCAATCTTCCGTTCCCCAATCTTATCTAGTCTAGATGTACGGACAACATTAAATATGTTGTAGGAAGTTTATGGATGTGACTCAATACCTTTCAATGGGGAAGATATCGAATGATCGTATGATCAAAAGTGCACAGTTAATGACTAAAATGATAACCATAGCTGTTAATAATAAGTAGGTAATTAAATTATATAATTTCATCTATTGACCTCGTAAGACCTCGTAAGATCTTATGTCCTTACATTCTACAAGATGTTGGAGGAAACTCGCAAGTCATAAAATGTGTCATTTGTTTACTAAATTATTCAAGAGTCTATTCAAAAAATTGTCCATCGCGGTCGTCTCTGTGAAGTTGTGTAAACACACAAATCCGTTAATTATAATTATAGAGGAGGTTTCAATTGTATATGCAGTAATAAGCAATTAAAATCTCTTTAAGGAGATAGACAGTACAGCCCTGTAGTCTCGACTTGCGGATCGCTTTTAATTATTATTTATGATCATTTGTTACATTATGTTGTGGTATTGTTCTCTTTGTGATTAAGCCCATCGACTGCTCAAATGAGGTGGTTATAAATTAGTATAAATGTGTAGCGTTAATGGTTTTGGCAATAAATGTATATTATTATTATTATTATATATTCAACAAAAGTTTTACTGTATTTCTCTGATAATGTAATTGTTTTATAGAGCAGTATGTAGTGACCGATCTGTTAATGATCATTTTTTTTGTCTTTATAAATTAGACGTTAATGGTTTTTTATGTATATTCAACAAAAGTTTCTTTATATATGTATATCATTGTATATGTTTTGATTTATAAATTGATATTTGATACAGTGGCAGTTTTTATCAAGAGTTTTCACTGTACGATGTATAATGTATATATTATATTATACATCTTATACATAAAATATTATATTATTCTAATACATTTAATATTTAAGAGTTAGTTGACTGTACATTACTTTGCGGGTGAAATGAATAAGTTACATTGAATACTTTGAATGCCTTTCAATTATGTTTATTTGCACGGACGTATGCAGTGCGAGACAAATTTAGGCGATTACGCGCACCAAAGTTGCTTGTCACTCCCATCTAAAAATATTGCGCTTGGCACTGAATGAAACGGCGTTAACTCTTTGAACTATGGCCAAGTTACATTTTATAATAGTGCTCTTATCGGTATGCTATACATATATGAGGTATAATGATAACATTCCGATAGGTTCGACCTGACGACGGAGTTTTTTTATGAATGAATATGAAACTGTTTACCCGCCTGTGCTAATGGTATACTCTAGTGCAGTATTAGTGAAGGATCATAGGGGTAAGCATCAAGTCAGATTAGGTAGCTCATCAAGGCGAATTTACGAGATATAAACCACGATGGTTTCAAGAGCGGCCTACGTGGAAAGCAATCTGACATGATATATTGCTAAAGATGGGGCCAATATTTAATTGACGACCTCGGTGGTCTAGCGGTCTAGCACACCGATGGACGCGGATTCCCGCACGGCACAAATATTTGTATTCATGAGTATGATTGTTTGTATCGATCTGGGTATTTTCTATAACCATATAATATATTATATGGTCATAGAAAATACATATATACCAATATTGTATGTATTTACTAAAAAAATATATCTATGTACTTGTATCAATTATCTAGTACCCGTAACACAAGCTTTAGATAGCTTAACTTGGGACTAGATGGCGGTGTGTGAATTGTCCTGAAATTATTATTATTAATATTATTTATTACTAACAATTCCTTGGTGACAGATAAAAGTCTTAAAAAAAAAATTATTATAATATATCTTTAATTCACAATATCATTGTAACGATCGCACTATCACAGTTCATGTTAGTCTCAAAGAATCCCACTGCCATACTCTTCAAATCGGAACTGAATATGCAAAGAAACTGCTGTCGGCAGAAATAATGACTGATTCTCGCGCAGAAGACTTCGTCCTTATAAAATGTCGTAGTTTCGGCGTCGTGGTATACTGAATATTGTAATTGGAGAATTAATTTTGTTTTCATCATGTTTTCCATGAATCTACATTTAATTGCTTTTATGTAGACTAACAGTAATTATAGGTCACGTGGCTCCTTTATCTATCATCCTCTAACTATATAATTTGATTCGTTTGATGTTGTTTGTGATAATCGTTAATAAACTAACTGACATTTTATGTAACTAAAGGATAAAATGCTCACGATTGCAATAACCAAAGGAGTAAGTAGTCAGTCATTGTGATAAACTTTGTTTAGCATATCGAGCTTGGCAACTTACCTAGAGAGCTTACCGCGTCAATTATGCTCGTTAGTTTACTTATAGAACTTCTTAATTTAATTTTGGAAATATAATTAGTTCTACTTTTTTTTTTCTAAAAGAAAGGAGGTTTCAATATTTGCAAAATTTGTTCAGAGCGTTTAGAATTGGCTAGTAGTAGTAGCAATGTTAAACTACATAAGTTTGTAGCTACTGAATTGCTTCTTATAACTTACAATTTACATCGCAGTATAAATAAAGTCGAATAATAAGAACCTTCGCTCTTGTTAAGTGGGTAGATAACAATCATTTTGTTTACCAAATTAAGATGGTATTTCTTTAAAACTAAATACTTGAAGTGTACAAGTACATTGATATGACCCAGTGTTCCTTTTTGGTATGTCGCCTGCTAGCCGCCGCTTGGCGAGGGCGTCGCTGTAGGTAGACGAACGAAATGGACAATGCGCATAAAAAATCAATAAAAGCCGGGCCCGGCCTTCGTGGAGGTCGAATGACGCTTCGTATCACCACCGGCCGACTGCGCTATATATACGACAAGAAAAGACTGTAAATATAAAGTATATATTTAATTTGAACAAATGGGGAATATTTTTTTAGACGAACCTTAATCTATAAGGAAAGGATATTTACGCCTACTTTTATCATGTTCATCTGGGCAGGTTTCGGTGTAGGGTTTTCTTGCGAGTTATTCTTTTGTACTGATACCATTCTCGATGTGTAAGTTTTTGGCAGTATAACAATTATGATACTTCTCGTTGAAGAAATAATAGTATGACACGATTTCTATAAACCAATCAGAAATGACATAATCAGTGTTGAAGGTGATTCTAAATACTTATTCCAAACTTGTAAATACTCTTTGCAACCTTTAATTTCAGAGATATGATACATTTGATATTTGGTTATTCAAAGTTTATAATTAATTAAATAGGATTATGATAAAGAGGATCTAATGTAAATATATGAAGTTTACAGTAATTTTATGTTATACATTAATATAATATGGAAAGTTCGCCTACATATTTTATCTGTTTTGGAAAAAGAAGCTTCAAAATTTGATTATAAATTTCAAGTCCAAAACCAAGCAAAACATGCCAAGTTCATATAAAACTGTAACGGATGTCACTCCGGTTACTTAATTAGTGTATTTGCAATATTATCATCATATATGGATGATTATTTAGAATCTGGTAATCCTGTTTGTGATCCGGTTTTAATATACCAAATTTATATTCGTCTTTTTATAACGCAATTGGCTTACTATATTTAGTGGTTTTAAAATCTCATTAAAGTTAAACGACTGCCAGTAGAATATAAATAGTTAATAGAATACTATCATAAAATAAATTTAACAATGACCACTTAGCGATCCATTCTTTTTTAATGGATTAACTATTCTATCATAGCATAATACGGTCACTATTACTATTAACAAATAACAACACATCGTTGTCTCATCGCTGATAAGGTAAGGATCTCGTCATAAGAGAAAGATTTTATAACTTTTTACCACACTGACGACACAGATAGGCATAAGGTTTTTGTTCTTATTTTTTTACTCTTGTTGCACCCGTGTACATTTAGATAAAGAGCAATGGCGGTGAGATAATGACGTATTTTATTAAGTCCTGCACGACATACAAGTTTTGATAATATCGTCCTGAAATAGTACAGTCCAGTGGGTGAGGACACTACATTTCGGAACTTGATAAATGACATTTGTCACTAGCAAGCGTGGGTGATTGAAAGTACTTGGGAAATACTTGATTAAATTTACTCCGTAATAAAGTAATATCAATAATACTCTCATCAAATTGCTAGTGAAAAGGCTATAATCGAAGTTAATTATTCTGACAACAGTGGGTTGTTGGCCAATATAATTTTCCTAATGAATATTTTAGATCGTCAGATCTGTGTATGAAAGTCTTTTCTACGTAGGTGATAGAACTGAGCAGATTGTTACATTTGTAATAAAAAATAAAGATAATGAATTTTCTACATTTTTATGGTAGAGTTTTTAGTATACGGACATTACATTCTACAATAATTTGTCTTAAATAAAACTCAATTTTCTCATGACTATATTTGACCTAGTCGTACGTTATCTAATAGAAAAAGGGGCAGTAGGACGCCTTGATTATTTATTTACAAATTATATAGGCTGCACGGAATATTAAAGACTAACGAACGGGATCTTCCCACGTTTTATTTTTGTGTTATCCAATTCCCTATTTTTATTATTACGAGAAAATAATGAAGGCGTCGAATTTAAAATACCTGTTTGATGTAATATGGACTCTAAATTAAATATGTTTAAGATTATAAATAGCACGGTATTTACTACTTTTGTATTTATATTTACTTTTTGTCCTGTAAAGGAGGTTCGCACCCAGAATGGTAAAATATATATTTCGTGTGAACTAATATTGTACTTGTGAAAATACAGAATCGTTGTTTTTTATTATTAGTTATTGTATATTCATTTATGTTTTTATTTGTTACAGGTTGTGTGGTTACTCGGAACGTAAACTTGGACTGCAAAGTAAGATTTATTTTAATCAAAATATTTTTAAACTGAAGTTATCAGGATTAGAAGTCGATATTTATTATATTTATAAATAAATTGTTGGCGTTTGATTACTTTTTACAGATGTACCTACTTATTCCACTGTTTGTGAATTTATTATACGGGGTAAAAACGTCATTATGCGTTTATAAATATAAAAAGTTGTCTTTGAAACTAGATTTATTAAGAATTACCTCAACTGCGATTAGATATTAAATTGAAGACGGGTCGCGCGTGAGGGTAACATGCTTTTGATCTCGCCATCGTTCTATATTTAGCTTGTATTTGCCACATTAATGTTTATTTTCCAATAAAAGTATATCAAAGCCAATATTTTTATATCATACATTCATTATCAAATTTTTAAACTTACAATATTTGTAAAGAATATCTTACGAAATGGAATTTGTATTGTCTCTCAGTATAGAAAAAAGAAATGTTCATTTAAACTAGTTTGCGAGCATTTCTCTGGAATTTGAGATATTTTGTTCACGTGGCAATGTACTTACCCACGCCACGCGGTTGTTCACGCGGGTTCATGGCGGCGCAAGTGCGCAACGTCATGGCACGCCATAAGCCGGTGACAATCGGTGACACATGGCACTAATATCGCTTGTCGTAACGATTCGTCTTTGTCTGATGAGTTATGATACTCTAAGTCTCGACAGTCCGCTAGATGAACGCTAACCGCGCTACAAATCATCGACGCTAACTCACTCCGCAAGAACTCGTCTTGCTTTCCCCCCCTTCGCCGCCCTCGTTCACCCGGCGCTTTCTTCCCAAACACCCACCCCCAAAAGGACACATTCACCGCTGTACTCTAAGCGATTTTCACACGAATGCCTTAATGACGTAAACACCACAATCGTTCGCGTCGACCACGTTAAAATTACATCGGGCCGTTTGAGCGCGGAACACACGATCATTAAACGTATATCTGTTAATAATAATTGCGATTGTCTGGTTGTACGTGCGCAGCGAGTTATGGCGCAGTTGCCGGGCGGCTCGGCATCCCTCCCCGCCTACCCGTGACCCCTCGGATCTGTGGCAAGAGGCGCATCTTGAGATGAAATGACATGTAGTTTCGTTTTGTGACTGCTGAATGGATGCCCAGTCCTGAGAATGTATGCGTACATCGTTCAATTTATATATCGTATTACATACACTACATATGAATAATTTTCCACGCATGGTCATCACTTCAATGTGACATTCACAATAAAATTTTAATCTTATCTAGTGTGAAGCACTGTACTGAGGCAATTTATTCATATATCTATGTAAGTTGCTACGTAATTTTGTGCAGAAATTAAAATGAATATTCTTTGAATTTTACATATTATAAATCCAATGACACATTGCATAGTAGGTAAACATGTTAGGCAAGTTGATTTTCTATGTATCTTAAACGTTAGTTTCAAACAAGTTTATTATTCAACTCTTGTCGCAGGTATCTTTGAAGTTGCGGCGATATAATCTGTTTATACGCGCTTATCTCAATAACTAGAAAACCTATACGCTCAGCATAAACGAGAGTTCAGTTTGTAGTCAAGGTTAATTTTACAACTGTTGAATTGATACTGATAATTATCTTGTATCTCGTAGGAGGCATCTTCAAATATAGAGATGGAATATTTTAATTTAGAATGTTCTCTTATTTATAGATGAGTATTTATAATTTTTTAAATTTAATTGAAAGGAATATAATGTACTTATTCATATGAATGTTATAAATGTTAGTTTTTCAGAAATTTATGTTTTTTTTTCCTTTCATGACCAAACGACTGAACAATATTTATCAAATTTGTCGTGAAGGTAGATTGTATCACAAACACGAATGGCTCTTTTATAAAAAAATCTAGAAAAAGTCGCCCGTAGCAGCTAATGTTAGATAAAAGTAATTGGCATTCTTTTGTCATGAGAAATACCAAAACGTGAATATGCTGATAGTGAGAAATGAAGAAAAAAGTAACGCTGCCAGGTGGATAAAGTCGAGTTAGTAACAAATGCAGAATTCCAATTGTTGAACCGAAAGGATTATGGATTGTATTATCGGACAGTGATTTATGATTTCCAATCCCACTCAAGTTTCGGTTCATAAATCTTTCAGTTGCTCTTCCCCCGTAAAAAAATACGCCGCCATTTTAAAATAACAATAATATTAGCTTTATATAATCCCTCGGCTGAGATGTTCTGACCTTCTCTCGCCCCCATACGGGGTCGTGCACCCAAATGGATTATGGTTGCTCGAAAAGTGCGTTAAGCAAAACCTAAACTCGATACTCAATCCCAGAAAAGCCTCCATTTGGGTTTATTACATTAATTAATGATAACAATCGGCTCATATAGATAGTAAAGTTCTGTCATGTCTTAAAAATGTTTAATATGAGATCGAGATTGCTCATTTGAAAGGACATCGGCTGTGATCTCGACAAAAAACAGATGCAATTACGGGTTGCAACTAGTGTACCATACATTGCAATACAATCTTCCTCCGACGCCTGTTGTTTGATCACATTAATCGGCACCGACAGTAACGACAAGCGAGTCGCGTTGCAAGCGCGCGTTTATCTGAAATTTTGTTGCAATAAAGTTGGCTTAGTGAGTTATTCGTATTTCCAACATATGGTGCAGTTTTTCCGTTAGCTTGCACATTTTTACGATCACGATCGGCGGGCGACTCGAATGGCGGTAATTTAACACAGGCCGTGGCGGAGGCGCGCTCTCACGACGACCGGTCCCCTACGTGATCTCCGGCGACGTTTGCCGACTCGATAACTACTTACTCGAATAACGCTTATACTGCAGTATCTTGTGTACGTACTATGCGGTCATGTACTGCGACGTAGGGTTGCCAATTGTAATAAAACAAATTATTATGTTTTACATACTGAACTGGTAACCTATATTTTATCTTTATATCCTCTACTGTTGACTCAACGTCAACATTATTTGTCTTATCAGTTATGAATTTGGTATTCTTGTAATTGGTTTATTATTATTTGATAAATTTAATTTCAATATTTACTGTATTTAAAAATTTTTAATAATACTAATTTGATAGTATTTGTCCATACTCAGAGAATTATTTCACAAAATGAATTTGTAGGAATAATAATATTTATTTTTTTAGTTACGTAATATTCGGTAATCAATACTTTTTTGGTAGGGTAAGTTTTTGAAGCGTTTTAATTGGACCTCAAAGTAATCCTACTATATTATTTTTAATATTACCTAATTAAACTGACAGTTGTACATAACTGATGTGATGTACATATATTACATATTATGTGTACCGTGGTAAGAAAATAAGTAGATACTTGATTTGCCGTATTCTGGTTTTAAGTAAATCGATTGACATTAATCGAACGTATAATAAAGTCGATGAGTACTCGTATTGTTAGGAAAGATTTTCTTATTAATGTGCGTATTTTCCACAGACGTAACGTAATAAATGTCGTCAGTTTTACGACATAAGTAATATGAATGTAGTTACCGAGTAGTTATTAGTTGACATATTAAGCAATCAAGATAACTTTATATAACTTTTAAATAGAAATTGTTCAATTTCAGAACTTTATATTTATTGAATTACAATTAAATACAAATGTAGTATTATTTGACATTAATTGCAATTTATTCAATATAATATTCTCTCGAATGAAGTCAGTTGGAGTTAAGTCGAAGCAATTAAGTGTGTTATTGTTGTCTTATCCTGAGGAATTTGTCATCAATTTCTGGACTTTATGATAGCGCTTTAGTGGAGGACGAAAAACCACAAAATACTAATTTTTACACATCTAATTGTACAGTAGAAACTGTATAATAATTGTAATTTAGTGTATATTATAACATTGGAATATGTTGGACGAAGCATATGTTCAGTTTATTTATTTTAAATGCACGATAAATATTTGATATATCTGCCATGCGTCAGTCGATACAGCTGTATTTGACTCTTGCGGATGGAGGGCGAATGTTTTATGCATAGAAATAGAAAGGAGGCCGACGTGTCTGACAGAACCAGAAGGCGGTAATGCCTTAAAGGATACTTTACTGTATGTCATATTTGATGTAATATGTATCCCTCTGTCAATATTTGTACATGCGGAATAGTGGGCTAGGTTTTTGTATTATGTAGATAAGTCATAAAGTCAAGAGTATGTAATCTGAATCTGGCGTGCATGCATGAGATGACTTATGAAGAAAGAAACAACAATTGTGTCTAAAGACAGCACCTACCCCGGTAGGCATCAAAAGATAGGAAATTTATTCTTTCTATGTTTACATGCAAAGTAAATCAACTACATGGTTTAATAGCATAAATTGTTTAATCGAACAATGACAATTTTTGGATGCTATAGTATATAGGACTCATTCTCTCTACTTCCTATTTCAATTCCTCGATAAAATCACTTATTAGTTTAAATTCCATCATATCTGAGCCTACTCTCCTTTTATCATTTTACACAGTCCATCTATATTTTCGGTCGTCCTCTCTTTTTACAACCATTGACTTTGATATTAAAAACGTTTAAGTCGTGCCCCTCATTTAACTGCGGATGCAATGTTGTCTTTACAATTTTGTAACAAAACTCTTATTTCCATCATAATAATGTCATCACTATCTTTATGTACTAATATTACCATATTCGATCATTCTAAATACACGTGCTACAGCTTCTTTTTCGCTCGTCATAAATTATGCAAATACAATATTAAAATTACAAATCGTATAACGTTTCCGTCGTCAAAGCAAAAGTTTTCGTTCCCAAACGTGTTCTGAATTGTTAATCCGCATTAAATATTTTATTATCACGCCTTTTCTGAAATACTACTTTACACGGCATTAGTTCTTATGTTTATATCTATGTAGGATATTGATATTGCAAGAATAGAAATATTCTAATGTGGTAATGTAATTTGAATTAGTAATTTTAGTGTACGAATTTTTACTGTTACTGATTTCATATAAT